ATAACATCTGCTAAATATACCATGGAAAACTACTGATGTAAGGTCATAAATAATATAGGTAGCAATCATTCACCTGCCATGGTTTGGAAAGTGGCTGCGCTATGAACATTTTCCAGCTCATTTCCTGCTACATAGACTTTCCTTCATACTCGCCTGGCTGCCTAATATAAACCAGAAAAATCGTGTCGCCAACAACAATCACGACATACATAAACAAGTAACACAAATTTAAATATAATGAAAAATGTATCAAGAATTATCAAGAAATATAACATCCCATACTTGTCTCACTGCTCGACTCCCAAGGCATTTGTTTTGTTTGTAGACTGGTAGAGGCGTCGCAGGACCACGTTTTCGTCGACAATGCCCTCGATCCTGTAGACGAGATAGAAGAGTAGGTTGTTGCATTTAGCTGTCTGTCTAACGATCTTTGCGTGCGACGGCCATATTCCCGTAGACGCGCCCGCGGACTGCTGAGACACACCACACATCACACTGAGCCCAATAATACAGCACATACGCAGGCACGGCACTGCACGCATACGCACGCACAAACATGCACCGCACGCACCGCACGCCATGCACAACGGCTAGTATGCCAGGCACCGCAACCGCACTGGCACGCACTACAGGCACGCACACATGCACGCACGCACCAACACGGCACGCACCGCCACGCATACAGTGCACGCGTACCGCACGCATGCACACGTGTGTATTGCATGCACGCACGCACGCATACAGTGCACGGCACACATGCACGCACGACACGCACGCACATACGCATCGCACGCACGCACGATACAGGCCACGCACACATGACGCACGCACGCCACGATACAGCGCACGCGTACAGGCATGCACACATGCACTGCACGCCACGCACGCACGATACAGCACGCAACATGCACGCACGCACGCATGCCACACTGGTGCTATTGCAGGCACGGCCACGCCACCACTGCACGCACGCCGGCATGCCACACGTGTGTATGCCAGGGCACGCACCGCACGCACGCTACGCACGCTCTCACATCACCGCCCAGAACGTTCAACCGTGGGCTGTCTGAGCGAGTCAAAATAATATATTCTTATTTTAGCCCATATCCAATATATACAGGTGAATTCGCTATGTGCTCGGCCACGATAAAAATTGTCTCACGCGCGCAACTCGCAAAAGGGGCGCCACACCAATAGACATAGCACCGATTGTGATTAACATGTTACTGTTTGTCCCGACTTCGGCCTCACTAGTCTGCCCTCACATGCACGCATCTTGTATGCGGTGAGGATGGGATTTGTCAACGTGCTACTAAATATCTTGTTGTGTATACCGCAGAATCTGCGCCACAACGGAGTACCGAGATTACTGTTAAATCTCTCAGCTGCTCGCACAACATAGCTCTTTAAGTCATCTATTTAGTTTATACGATTATGTGTGCTCCGCCTCATACTGTTGAATATGTATGGTGAAACTTTCACGTGCGTGTTCGATCGCAAATGTCATTCGCGGCAACCTTTTATATATTATAGCTCACATAAGATTGTTGAACTAGTTTCAATTATGTATATGAGCTCAAACAATATAATAACTAACCCATGAGTATTAGGATATTGCGACGACTAAAGATAACACTCCTCAGTCAGTTGCCAGCATTTGCAGTCTTACTGCACAACAGCGAAGCCCAGCATCACATACCACAGAATAAGTTTCTTATTACTGGGTCGTAAATGCTGTCGACTGTTCTTTTCCTGATGCTCGTATTGTACGGTTTGCGTCTCACTCTTCGCGCGAGGCCCTCCTTTCCTTTATCAGTGCCTTCCCTCGAACTCGCCGAACGAAAACTTCCTCCACTCCATCCTACGTTTCTTTTCTTCACCTGAAAATCCAGTTGCGCGCCGTTTGCAGAAGATCTTTCTTACACTTAACACTGGGAAGCTGTTGCAACAATAGCTCCAACAGACCTTGAAAAGAATGCCACGTGTATGGAAACTACAGCTAGCGCCCGGACTCGTTACCCGCTTGACCTGGTCCTTTTATGCAAATGTCATAACGAAGGATGATTGTAGAAACTTAGAGAAAGCAATGGCTTCAGCTGCTGGTACACTCTGGTTCGCACGAGGTCGGAGCCTGATAGCAGTGTAGCTAGTCGCATATACTTATTCACAGGAATAAACGGCTCTGTTCTGGCAGTTCACCGCCAGACCGTAAATAGATTTATTCCGGGTTGGCATTGATGCCAGTGTCATAGAGTCATATAGGACTATATATATATAGCTCTATATGATGACACTGCGAGTCATCTCATCCGTAACGTAGCGCTGTTTTATGATAAATGTACGCTGTGATAGGGTTATAGCTATATAACATTTCTTTCCGAGAGCATATACGTAGCGCTAGACGCCGCACCTGTCCTGTGCTCATTTTCACGCATCTACCTCTTACCAATCCCACCCACAGCGCAGCGACGAACCTCCCACGCGGCGGGTCCCCAGGTGCAGCAGCTGCAACGGTCAGCTCACCATCCTCGTCCCCCCCGTGACCCACCCCCCACGCTCCTCCGTTACCCATCAACCAACCCACGCAGAGCGACAACCTCCCGCCGCGCGTTGATCCAAGGGGCTAATTCTGCTGCTGTTTTCACTAGTTTCATGAGTAATCAGATGTTACAAGGGGCTAATTCTGCTGCTGCCGTTCAATTTAAAGATTATAAGGAAGGCTGGTGTCTGATCAGCGATCTTCTGCTATCTCTTCCTCTCTCGCTGCTGGTGAAGATTGTCAGCGTTACTTACAGGGTGAGTTGACATAGTGAGGTATGCAAACTATGGTGCTGCCATCTACTGACAACATTGTAATGGAATATTGACGTGTGATAAGTTACTGAATGCCTAGTTCACCTCGTGCCATTATCCACAGTGCTATAATTTTATGTTTTCTCTTACTTTGTGTTTTGTTAATTTTTCGAGAGAATGCAATTCGGATCACTAAATATTCGTGAGCTTTGTGAATGGGCACCAGAAAGTTCTTTTAAACTCCCAGTCAAATCTGCCTTTATACGGAATTTAATTTAAACTAAAGAATCAACCCATCTACTTTTCATGATTTACAGGCAGCTCTAGCCAATCAGTACTGCAGTAGAACCCTCTAACAAAGCAAAGCTTAATAAAAAAGCTGATCCGTAGTTAAGTCATTGGTTGCCATCAATAGCCAATATATATATCTTATATATCTTATATTGATTATCATCAATAGCCCTGAATCCATTTCAATCGTGTATATATGTGTATATTATATATCTTATATCAAATAGTGCCCGCTCAGGCGGGCACTATCGCTTCATAGTGCCTGCTGCGTTATCCAATGAGATTGCAGCGATTTATCACGTCATGCACTAATATTTATTATTATTGTCTTACAGGCTTGGAGTAAGTTTCTGCTTTTTGTTACTAGGAAATGTTTTATGATTTGTGATTCCATTTTCACTTGTGGCATGTAAATCAGTTATCTTTACAGTTATGTAAATCAGTCTGTTCTCTTATTCCCAAGTCCTATAACTTCTTCAAACGTCTTCATACCCAACATGTCCTCACACATTCCAAACCTCAGATATCTAGTTTGCACAACTTTGTTAACAATTTACACACTATGAAGGTCTATTGAAGGTTTATCTGCTCCTACGACACGCACCCCTTGTAAAACCAACGACCACGACGTATTTCCTCAAGTGCTGCAACCTAATACCCAAACTGCATGCAGCGCCCCCTTCGTACAACACAGGATACCACTGCCACAAGGCTGGTACTATTTTTCAAGTGGGTGGAGCTCCGGGTTAATCCAGATAATGGCAATCCAATAGCCGCATATGATTTGAAAGTAGTAAATGGGCACACAATCCGCGCACTATTTCGTATGACAATTTTTATCAAATTTTTCTTAAAATAATGGTCGGATTTTTAATATCTTTGCAACTTTTATTAGTACAAATCTTATTACATAGGATACGCGTAACCTGGCCGCTGTAAAACTTGTGGTAAAAAAGCGTTAGAAATTCTCACGGAAATCTACTTGTGGCAGTGGTGAATTGAGCCAGAGCGAGATCTAGAACACCATCTGTTGTGGCGTTTGCCTCATACTTTCTCGTAATATTCCACTGTCAAGTGCTGCCACTTGCCATGTGAAAATGCAGAATTTTGATTCAATTAAATTAAATTTACACTTATGAATACATTTATTTACACTCGGATGATATCTAACGCGATGTATCTTGTCTCATTAGCTGCTCGGCAGCAACAGTAAACGCATCTTCACGCACGCGAAGAAGGACAGTGTGCACATCACCTACCGGCTGCTGAAGAGAGCCAACATCATCGTAGAGGCCGTCCGCCAGGCTCAGCTCATCGAGAATCTCTTCATACTGCAGAAGGTAGCGCCACCTGTCTGTATCGCCTGTCCCACTGTCGCCGACGCCGGAATTCAGAGACAATAGTGCCACGGTCGCGCTCCTTACGTGCCATGAATGCCCTCCTCATACGTCGAAGTCACCCTCTTTATTTGGCGTGGGTGACCTCCTTATTTGGCGTGGATGCCCTCCTTATTTGTCCTGGGTGACTTCCATATTTGGCGTGGGTGACCTCCTTATTTGGCGTGGATGCCCTCCTTATTTGTCGTGGGTGACTTCCATATTTGGCATGGGTGACCTCCTTATTTGGCGTGGATGCCCTCCTTATTTGTCGTGGGTGACTTCCATATTTGGCGTGGATGACCTCCTTATTTGTCGTGGGTGACTTCCATATTTGGCATGGGTGACCTCGCTTAATTTGTCGTGTGATGACTATCCTATTTGCGTGGTTGACTACCTTCATTTGGCATGGGTGACCTCCTTATTTGCGCGGATGCCTCCTTGCTGGGGTATGGTAAAATTATTGACACATTTCCAGATCACATTTGCTATTTGACAGTGACAACCCATGTAGCTTGCACACAACTTTCTAGTTCTACGTTCATATCAGATTTGAGTTCGTGTACAAACTGAAGGATAATCCCAATGGTTTATTCCTGTTGAGTCCGCAACTTGATCAGACATGGTGGAGTATGTAAGCGTCGTGCAGTAAGAGCGTACATAAAATACAAGTCTATGTATTAACGTGGGGAGAACGAATGAGGGCACATTGTAGTGTGTGTATGTGTGTGTCCGTGCCAGCTGATAATGGAGGAAGAACTGAAGGAGGGTTACACCTGTAAAGTAGACAAGAAGTCGATGTATCGCATCATCAACCGTCTCGTCGCCGACGGATCAATCAAGTCCTACAAGACGCAGCTGCGCATGGGCAACCGTGTGAAGATGGTGAGCGACCGTGCTGCTGCTGCTGGGACGCGCCGCGTGGGAGGTTGTCGCTGCGTGGTGGTGGGATGGGTAACGAGGGTGGGGGGGTGGGACGAGGATGTGAAGCGATCCGTGTGCGGCTGCTCTGCTTGTGGACGCGCCCGCGTGGGAGGATTGTCGGCTGCCAAGCGGAATGGCGGGATGGGAGGAATGGTAGAACCGAGTGGGGTGGGGGGGGTGGCGGGCGGGGACGGAGATAAGGGTGAGCGCCGTGCTGCGGCTGCTGGGACGACGCCCGGGCGTGGGAGGTTGTCGCTAGCGTGGCGTGTGGATGGGGTAACGAGGGTTGGGGGGGTGGGGGGCGGGGGATCGAGGATGGTAGAGCGAACCGTGCTGCTGCTGCTGGGACGCCGCGCCGCGTGGGAGGTTCGTCGCTGGCGTGGTGGTTGGGATGGGTAACGAGGGTGGTGGGGACGAGGATGGTGACGACCGTGCGCTGCTGCTGCTGGGAGCGCTCGTGAAGCATGGTGGCGGCCGCGCGATGGAGGGTTGTCGCTGCGTGGTGTAAGGGATGGGTAACGAGGGTGGGGGGGGGGCGAGGATGGTGAGGCGCGACCCGGTGCTGCTGCTGCTCGGGACGCGCCGCGTGGTAGGGGGGCTCGTATCGCTGCGTGGTGGTGGGGATGGGTAACGATGGGTGGGCTGGGGAGGGGGGGACGAGGAATGGTGAGCGAGACGCGTGCTGCTGCTGCTGGGACCGCCGCGTGGGAGGTCGTCGCTGCGTGGTGGTGGGATGGGTAACGAAGGTGGGGGGGTGGGGGGGGGGACGAGGATGGTGAGCGACCGTGCTGCTGCTGCTGGGACGCGCCGCGTGGGAGGTCGTCGCTGCGTGGTGGTGGGAATGGTACGAAGGGTGGGTGGGGGGGGGGATAGGATGGTGGGCGAGAACGGCTGCTGCTGGCTGGGAGCGCGCAACGCGTGGGATGGGTAAAGAGGGTGGGGGGGGGAACGAGATGGTGAGGCGAGGACGTGCTGCTGCTAGCTGGACGCGCGCGCGTGGGAGGTCGTCGCTGTCGTCGGTGGTGGATGGTATACGAGGGTGGGGGGGGGGGACGAGGATGAGGTGAGCGACCGGGGTGCTGGCTGCTGCTGCTGGGACGCGCACGCGATAGGGAGTCGTCGCTCCCGTGGTGGTGGGACTTGGGTTATAATCGAGGAAGGGTGGGGGGCCGGAGGAATGGTGAACGACGCGTGCGCTGGACTGCCTGCTGGGACGGAGCGGCCGCGTGGGAGGTTGTCCGCTGCGTGGTGGTGGATGGGTAACGAGGCGTGGGGGGGGACGAGGATGTGAGGCCCGACCTGTGCTGCCTAGCGCCTGGGACGCGCACGCGTGGGAAGGTCGTCGGCTGCCGTGCGTGTGGATGTGTAACGAGGGGGGGCGGGGGACGAGGATGGTGAGCGACCGTGCGCCGCTGCTCCGGCGGGACCGCGCGCGTGGAGGTTGTCGCCTAGTGGCGTGGTGGGAGGAGACGAGGAGGCGTGGGGGGGGCGAGGATGGTGAGCGAGGCCGTGCTGCTGCTGCTGTAACGCTGCCGCGTGGGAGGTTTGTCGCTGCGCTGGCTGGTGGGAACTGGGTAACGAGGGTGGGGGGTGGGGGGGACGATGGATGGTGAGACGACCAGTGCTGCTGCTGCTGGGACGCCACAAATCGCGCCGGCGTGGGAGCGTTGTTCGCTGCGTGGTGGTGATGGGTAACGAGGGTACGAGGGAAGGGAGGTACGCTCACATCATCTCAATTATCTAACGCCTACAACAAGGCTACATTTCATTTCTGCGATGCCCGGCATGGTCAATGCAACGACCAAAACCGACGCGCTTCACCATTGTGAAGAGCGCAATTCAGCAGGCACAGCTGAAGGCATTTTCTCGTTCTCCGACTACGAGGTACGATCAGCGCTAGCTGTAGTCCATACACGTGGCATTTCTTTTCAAGGTCTGTTGGAGCTATTGTTGCAACAGCTTCCCAGTGTTAGTGTAAGAAAGTCTTCTCACGCACTGGGTTTCAGGTGAAGAAAAAGAAGAGTAGGATGAGTGGAGAGTTTTCGTCGGCGATTGAGGAAGGCACTGATAAAGGAAAGGAGCCTGGCAAGAAACCTACAATAGAGATGGAATACTGCCCAGTAAGAAACTACGCTCTTGACTGCAATCTGCAACTACAGATTTATTCAATCCTAATACTCATAGATATTATAATTAGAATCCAAATTTTGTGTAAATCGTGCAATTTGTGTAAACACGGAAATTTAAATGCAAGTGGGAG